GTTCAGGGGCGGGGAACTTCTGTTAATCTCAATGCAGTGAGACAGCCTCACGGAGGAGGAAGCGGAGGGGAGAGATACGGCGGACGACAAGGGGCAGACGTCGACGACGGATGACGAACAGGAGGAGGTGAACGACGACGACGACAACGGCGGTGGAACAGAAGAAGTAGAAAGAAAAAGGCGAGGAGACCAGGACACGGAGAAGTAGCGCGGAGGAGAGAGGAGCGAGGGGGGAGGGGGAGGGAGGAGAGAGGGGGAGGGAGGGACAAGGAGGGAGGAGGGAGGACGGAGGAAGAGTGGGAAAGGAAGAGGGCGGCGGAATGAGGAAACGCAAGGAAAAGAAAGGAGCAGCGGACGCGGGAAGGACGGAGGAGGAGGAGGAGGAGGAGGAGGAGGAGGAGGAGGAGGAGGAGGAGGAGGAGGAGGAGGAGGAGGAGGAGGAGGAGAGGAGAAAGAGAGAGGAGGAGGAGGAGGAGGAGGAGGAGGAGGAAGAGGAGGAGGAGTAGGAAGAAGGACGGACGGAGGAGGAGAAGGAGGACGGAGGGAGGAGGAGGAGGATGCGGAGGAGGAGGAGGAGGCGGAGGCGGACGGAGGCTGTGGGAGGATCCCAGGCGAACCCCCAAAGCCCCCGATGCCTCTGGGGGCCCAGCACAACTCAGAGGCGCCCACCAGACGTCAACATCAGAGAGAGCAGAAGTTGGTCTGGCGCCTCTCCGTCGGGCGCCAGAGAGGGGACGAGAGGACCCCCGTCCTCCTCCCTTCGGAGGGTCTGAGAAGCCCTCCGCAACTGAGCGCTGCTGGTACAGTCAACCAGTATAGTAAGGATGCGCGATAAGGATGCAAGGGCCCTGGACGCCCATGTCGAAGCTCTTCGAGCGGGGCGCGGCCAGCGAGAGCGGCGAAGGATGGGCCGAGAGGCAAGGTTGCCTCTCCTCACTTTGCGGGCTGCTTGCACGGCAGCGCTGTGGGAACCTCTGGGCCAAGGACCGAATGGCCACCCGAACCCGCGAGGCCAAGCTCGGCCGCCGCCGACTCCTCGTCAGAAGCATCTGCAGAGAGGGGCGGCTGAGCCCCAAGCAACGCTTCGGCCGCCGCCGCGCCCTCGGCGTCCTCTCCCTCCCGGCCCAGCGGCCACCACCCCGCGCCCCGACAGGCAGAGCGGGAGCCTTCGGGCTGGCAGAGGAAGAGAGAACACGCTTGTGAAGCCATGGTCCCGCCTCGACTGTGATGTCAGCCCGCGTTGGGCGACTCCCCTTGCAAATACGGTTCCACTTGATTGTGCCTGGTAGACTGTGCCTGGTAGACCTGGTGGGGCACTGGCAATCAATGCCTAGGCCTGAAACGCGACCGTGCGACGAGTAGCAGTAGCACTTGGTGCAGATGACAAGAGCGGCACGACCTGAATAGGGCAGCGCGATGCACTTGTGTCCCCCACTCCAACACGTTAGCCGAAAGGCCCAGCACAGGCCTGCAAACCAAAGCAAGAGGGGGACGGACCTTGAGTGGACATACGACTGATCCTGCAACAAATAAGACACTGCCAGCAACCAGAGCATACTCGATGACCTCTGCTGCGGATAGGTATCCAATCACAACGAGGGTCTATCTTACCTGCTGGAACACAACCCCTGAAGTCTTGAACCGCTGGGTTTCTGAAAGACCAAGGCGGGGCCAGAGCGGAAGTATTGTCGCTGCCAAACGGGCCGCCGTTTTCGAAAGCTTCGCGCCAAGACCGAGCCTAGCAACCTGGTCCTCCGAAGGTTGGGGGCGCCCTAAGGGGCCTCCACCTGCGCTGCTCTGGCGTCAGCAACACGGTTGCCCAAACGGCACATCTTGTCGTGCACGGACGCCCACTCCTCAAGTGACAGGTGAGCGCTTCACCTGATGGAGGGCTCGAACTTTCCACGCGCCTGAGAACAAGCTGGGAGAAAAGCCGCTGCAACATGGCAGGGGAGATTCCTGCTCGAAGAAAAGGTCGCTCGACATGGTTTTTGACCAACTGGGCGTCTGCGTAACAAAGCGCACGGCTTGGACGTGAACTGGATGGCTTGACGCAGGGCCGCAAACTCTCCTGCAGGCGCTGTCTGGGGATAGAATGACGGAGCGGGGCCACGAAGCCCGCCAGGAGTGTCCCCTTGGTCGCCGACTGCAGCGAAATACCAGCCAGCACGGCTGAACTCACGCACTGAATGCTTGAGGGCACTGGCATCGGTGAACATGCTACCCTTAAACTCGAAAGCGACGACTTCCTGGGGCAATCCTCCCTTGGCCTGGAAGATGCCAGAGGGCTTTGTCGAAGGCCCAGGATCAGAATCCCCGGGATGGGGGCCAAAACCACCAACGCAAGACCCGACAGAATTGGGCTCTTCCAGAGCCGGCTGGATGATGTCTGGATCCTCTAACTTTTCTCGAATCCCAACCACAGCCTGACACCTGCAGGCCCAAAGACGATGGTGAAGCGCGTCGGCGGCCACGCCGCAGAAGAAGACATGCAGGGCCCAGCTGGCATCCCAATCAAGGAGCCTTCGGACCGATCCAAATGGCATCGGCGGCCATCGCCATGATGCAACCCTTCTCCAACGCATGAACTTTCGCATCCGAAGCTCGGCTGTGATTACGTCGAGACATAAAACGAAACGCTTGGTACCGTCCTCTTCCGGCTCCCCGTTCCAACACCCCGAGTACCGCGCTCCCGAGATGCTGCCTGAGGACCTGAAGGGGCATTCGAGCGGCGCTGTGGGTAACTCAGCGCCCATGGTCGTGACGAGCATAGCGTAAGCTTTCGTCGTCCAGGAGATCCTCTTCGGGGGCTTGCGCATGGCAGCTGCTGGCCCTCCAAGCTGCTCTCCGCGAGACGAGACGGGGGGAGGAGGAGGAGGAGGAGGAGGAGGAGGAGGAGGAGGAGGAGGGAGAGGAGGAGGAGGAGGAGGAGGAGGAGGAGGAGGAGACAGAGGAGGAGGAGGAGGAGGAGGAGGAGGAGAGCGCGACGCCTTCCCGCACCCGCGTCAGCTCCCCGCGCGGGACGGAACCTTCAACGGCCCTCGCGCGGGTGCACCAACCCCTTCTGCGCTACCGTCATTTGCGGAATAAGCGCCCATCTCAGGTATCGGTGACAAGACGACAAAGCTCGCCCCCCTGCCCCCGGTATTCCTCAAGGTTGACGAGGAAGCCGTGCCCCCGCGCAAAGTGGGCATTTATCTCGCAACACGTCGCGCTCCCTTTTGGCGCTTTCGTTGGCCAACATGAGATACGGGTCGCGGGGGCGGGGCTCTCTGTCCTTCTACAAGTGGGCGTTTATGTCGCAAACGGCGGTGTCTCATGATGGGGGCCGCAACCCCTGCCCAGGCGGGGCCCCCTCAACACGGGTCCCTAGCCGTAAGGGAGCGCTGGCCAGCCGAAGGCTTACGAGTCTTAGACGCAGCCCGCCGAATAAGGGGGAGTTCGAGATCCGTAACTCCATGTACTTCACTGTCGTGCGAATCTGGAAGAGGGCATGCTGAGAAGATACGCAAACAACGCCTGGGGCCCGCAGCCTGACGGAGCTTGGCCACACGGCCGGTCCTCTCAACACATGCCCCCATCCTGATCCTGTTTTTCTGCAACTCCCATTGGTCCTGAAGCTTCTGCCCACAGCACCGTCTGGCGGCGCGAATCGCAGGGGCGCCGCCTCGGCAGTGGCACACACCGCGACCTGAAAAAAGACCCTGCAGCATGCGACGAGACCGGACTCGTCTGTGAGGAGGAGGGGGAGGAGGAGGAGGAGGAGGAGGAGGAGGAGGAGGAGGATGGAGGAGGATGGAGGAGGAGTAGGAGAAGGAGAAGGAGGAGGAGGAGGAGGAGGAGGAGGAGGAAGAGCAGGGTAGAGCGCGAGCCCCGCTCCAGGCCCACGGCAGGACTTGATCCAGCGACTCCGAGGCATCGGCCCTGGTGAGGGTCGCCGCCAAGGAGAAGAACCGGCAACGATTCCACGGCGGGCAAGCCAGGGCCCTGCAAGACAACCCCAGCCGAAGGCTGAAAGCGCGGGGCCCTGGAGGCCCTGATGCCCAGGTGGCGCCTTCCCCTGGGGATATTTGAAATGCAGACGGCTCTCCTGGAGCCGGTCCAGATCGATCAGCTCGCAACGCGCGCACGGGTCCCGAAAGAAGGGCGGCGGCGAACGGGTCGCGGGAGGTGCCCGCCCTCGCTGCGGAGGCACCGCGTCCGCGCCACGCCCGAGGCGCGCCCAGAAATTGCCCAGCCGCGAAACATAGGAGCGGCTGTTGGCCGCCACGCAGCTCTCGGCCAGGCTTCGGTCGGGCATGTCCCCCTGCAGGCGGATTTTGCACGAGAAATTGAAAATACCCCCCAAATCGTCAAACGTATGCGAAAATCGTCAAAACCTCGTCCCCAGACCATTTTGTTACTATGTCCGAATATTCCTCCTGTAGAGGGACAGGCCCGACTTACGGCCAGGCCCCTGCGCGCGCGACCCCGCAGTCGGCAAGGCTCCGCGACGATCCCAGCGGAACGATGCCCCCCCCCCGCGGGCGTCGTGGGCATGGCTGGCGCGGCCGCGTCGGGTTGGGCGGCTCCAGGACCTGGCACTGCTTGCACATCGCCACACCACCAGGAAGAAAGAGAGAGAGAGAGAGAGCAAAGAGAGAGAGAGAGAGAGACAACAAACAATTACAAACAGAGAGAGATAGAGATATATAGAGAGACAGAGCGAGACAACACAATATAGCTATACGTAGAGAAAGAGGGAGAGAGAGCGAGAGAGAGAACACTGAAGTGTTCCAACTGGAAAACGTACATCTTCATCGCGGAACTTGTTTTACACTTCCTGGGGACGAGGAGGAGGAGGAGGAGGAGGAGGAGGAAATGGAGGAGGAGGAGGGGGGGGAGAAGGAGGAGGAGGAGGAGGAGGAGGAGGAGGAGGAGGAGGAGGAGGAGGAGGAGGAGGGGAGGAGGAAAACCGCGTCCGATCACGGCCCAGCGGGGGCCATGGGCGCTAAGGCGTCCTCGACGTCTCCGACGGATGCCACCTCGCCAAAATAGAGGCCCACCTGCCAGAAGGCGCCAACCGTTCCTCCCCCTCCTCCTCCTCCTCCTCCTCCCCTCAGACCTGGGCGTCGCAAAAACAGCTCGTGACGGCAGGTTGATCAACTAGATGTTCGCCCTATGAAGGCCGAAGGCCGATTCCTGGACCTGGCGCCGTGACAAACACGACTCAGGACGAAAAAGCTATCTTTGACTGACTACTTAACTGACGAGCGAGACACCCGAAATCTTGATGTCAGAATTACGCGGCCCCCAGAGATCCCGAACCTCTCCGCAGGAGCGGTTGTTCATTCCGCGTCGTTCTTGAACACAGCCGAGGAGCCCAGCGGGGGCCCTCAGAGGCCGGAGACGGCGCAAACACCGCGGCCGCTCCTCCTGCCAAGGCGGCGACTCCGTGCCGTGACGACCTTGGCATGGGCCGCTGACACCGCGCAGATCGTTCCACCCCGACCGCAAGGTCGTTATATGTTAGCCGATTCTTGGCCTCCGGCGGCGGTCAACCTTGAACGCACGCGGCGGGGTCGCCGCCGCGTCGACGCGACCCCGGAGGGTGTGGCTTGCAAAGGGTGCAGCTCGCAACCCGCGCCCTGGGGGGCGGGCGAAGACCTCGACGGAGTTCTCCGCCGCGCCCCGAGGAGGCCGGACCAGGGCAACGTGGTGCCCCCGAAGCCGCCCCGACGGCGCAAATTGCAAACCACACTCCGGCGTAAAGACACCCTGCGTAGTCGCCGCCGCGTCGACGCGACACGAACCTGCCGTGCGCTGGACGTGTGGGGAACTGACGTCGACGGACAGCTCGGGTAGCACGTGTCCGAGGTCGATCCCAGGCAGGCCGATCATGGTCCGCCCTGAATGCGCATGCACACCTGTCCTGGGCCAGGGATGGGTCGGTAGGGCGACCCTAATCCCCGGCTTTGTAGGGCCAAACAATGTGGGCCCAAACTCGGTGATATAGAGTGGGGGGGGGGGGGGGGCGTGCATCCTCGATTGTGGTGCGCCCGAATAGCACCCGGGGGGTGCATCCCCGAGTTTGACTTCTTTTCTGAGCTTCCAGCTTTTCAGGGGGGGAGCTCGGGGACTGGGGGTGGGAGATCCCTTGCGACTCTCCGACGCCTGCGTGTTGTGGCCCCCCTTGGTCTGGGGCTCCTCGAGCAGGCGAATCGCCGTGTCGTGCCACTCCGTGGAGAATGCCCCGCAGGCGTCGTGCACCAGGCACACGCGCATGAAGCGGTCGACGGCCTGCACCGCCGTGGCGAAGACGCAGACGTTTGTGAGCACGCCGCAGAGCAGGATGCGCTCAACGCCCCTCGCTCGCAGCTCGTCCTCCAGAGGCGTGGAAGCAAAGGCGCCGAAGGTCCACTTGTCCACCACTATCTCGCCGGGCAGAGGCTTGCAGCTGGGGTAGAACTCGTAGCCCTCGTCCCCCGCGCCGACCAGCTCGTCCCGCACCGTGGCGCCGTAGCGGTGGGAGCGGCTGTGGGCCACCGTGAAGCCCGCGCGCCGGCATGCCGCAAGAAGGCGCTCGACGCCAGCGAGGCCAGACTGAATCGGCGTGCCCTTGTAATGCATGCCGACGCGGCCCGTGGGTGTGAGGAAGTCCTAGGAGAAGATTGCATGAACATGACGTTCTTGCAGCAAAATGCCCCAAACAGCTTCTCACAATTACGAAGGGGGCAACGATGGCGGGCCATGATGGGGGGATCTGGGTAGTGGTCTGGATAGGGATAAGGCTGTAGCGCTACGGGGTCAGGGATAGGGGTGGGGATGTGGGATAGGTGAATTAAAACTTTGTGGTACAAGCAAGCCGGTAGAGATAGCGATACGTGGGGATACGGATAGACAATATGAAGCAATGGGGGACAATGGGAGACAACGGGGATACGGGATACGATTAGAAATTGAGATGGAGATACGCGTAGGGATAGACGCTGGGAGACAAGGGCAGACACTGTGAGACAATTCTGGGAGAACGAGCCAGCGGGGGACAGCGGGAGACAATGGGCGACGATGAGAGACCACGGGAGACAACGGAGATAAAGCCGCCTGACCGATCCCGAATATGATGACGCACCTACTAGTTTTAGGCCGGGCATGTCCTCCTACATGTGGACTTGTGGACCAACAATGAAAGAACAGTCAAACACTATTCAAACATAGTCAAACATTTGAAAAGTCGTCTCAGACTGTTGTTTGACTATTCTTGCATATTCCTCCTGTAGAGGTTGAAGCAACTCTTAAATCTACCTTGCAGACAATCTGTTTTAGGAGACAGGACCGTACACTTTCGGAAGTCCGCGCAGAGCGCGCCAGGGGCGGCGCCAGGGGGTCCGTCGCCGGTCCAAGATATCCGCGTGGCCCTCCGAAAATGTGTTGACGATCTACCACGGACAGCACAACCAATCGGATAAATACCCCAGCAAGACCTCCCCGCCAACCCCTCCTGCCAGTCCTGTTTAGAGCGATCCGTGCACTTCTTTCCACATGGTCCAGTATGTCGTGTATCCTTCTTCGAGGTCTGCGCGGATTTCCCGCATCAACGGCGGCACGCCCGATAAATGCGCACGGACCTCCGAAGATGCAAGCTCACGTTTACACGGAGTCTTATGAAGCTCCGCCTGGTTGATCCAGTCCTCTCCACAAGACAGGGTGCCAAGATATCTGGCGTCTTGATGTTTCCCTCCGCGGCCCCGTGCAGGAGAGTCCGCAGGTCCCGACCGCTGCTCTGGGGGTCAACTCTCGCTCGGGATCCGTCTTCGACGGTGCCAGGGCCCGAGAAGGGGCCCCGGAGGCTGATGCTATAGAAAAACGCCCCGATGGAAAGAAACATCGACGGATATCTGGGTATGTCGCAGCTTCTCCTCCAAAGTCCGTCTGCGTTTTCATGATCACCCGCGACCCACACACACATAACTTTGACGAACACTCGGCGCGTGCGGCGGGCTTGCTGTGTCTTGTGCCCTGGCTCGGCGCTCTTGCCGCGGGCTTCTTCAGAACTTGGCCCACAACCGACGACCCCGCCGCCCCCTCACTCCGCAATCCCGCGCGCAACGGGGGTTGGGGAGGGGGGAAGGCTTCTTAGAAGTAGCCTGCTTCCTAGAGGGCGCTTGCCTTACATCTACAGGAAAGGCCCGCACCTTCTGGGACGCAGGGGTGCTTCTGAGAAGCCTTCCCCCCTCCCCCCATGACCCCCCCACTGCGCGTGGTCGAGCCCCTGCCCCCTTCCCCAGGCAGTGCTCTCAGAGTCGACTTCTGACAGTCCTGGGGCCCGGCACGTGCCCCCCAGAGCGGAAAATGGAGTAGCCGACAGAACGAGATCTTCCGCCGCGATGTTCTCACGACGCGAACACGTCTGGGTATGTCACTCCTTCTCCTCCGAGGCCCGTCTGGTCTACCAGTACCCCGGCCAGGGCCGTGATCTCCACAAGACAAGGCACCAAGACCTCTGACGCCATGCGTTTTTGCTGAAAACGCGGACCCAAGAAGTCGCAATATATTCCCTGCGACCGTTCTTTGTCCTGAATCCTTTTCTGACTCTCCCGGGGCCTGGCGAAGGCCCACAGAGGCCGAAACCTGAGAAAACGACGCGGCCTCTATCTCTTCAATCCGTTGCAGGGGTTGGGTTCCAGGTTCTCGGAACGCAGCTCGGGATTCGGGCACCCCCAGAATGGAACGCCCTCGACGAGGCGCAGCGGATTGAAGTTATCCCGGGGCTGGCGATTCTCTCCCGACGCGATCACGTCTGCGTACCCAGACCCCCGACGTCATGATCTTTTCATGACGCGACCCCCAGAGGCCCGGTAAGGGCCCCCAGAGGCCGAACATAGAGGAATACCTCCCGGCGTGATCTCTTCGCGACTCGATGGGGATGGGGGTCTGGGTATGCCGCCTCTTCCCCTCCGAGGTCCGTCTGCATGTCTATGATCACCAGAGCGGTGTCCTTGTTGAGCAGGGACCGACCGTCCCGGCATTCCTATAGGCCTACCACGACATGTTCTTGGAACACCAAAATGTTTTGATTACCAAAGCAATGTTCTTAGAACTTAGACCCGATGTGTTAAACTTACCCTGTGACGTACCCAACCCATTTGTATCAATGGAAACGAGGAGTTGGCAGAAACTTGTATGGACAATCAATTTGATTTGTAAGCTACTTGAGAAGCGTCACTGTGCTGGGCCCCGCAAGCAGGCCTCGAAAGTGGCGACAGTTTCACAGATCGCAGCCCCCCAGGGATGGCGAGGTCTAATTTGAATCTGCGTGTGGCGTCACGGTGCTGGGCCCCCCAGCAGGCCTCGAAAGTGGGGACCGTTTCACAGATCGCAGCCCCCCAGGGATGGCGAGGTCCCATTTGAGTCTGCGTGTGGATACCCACTGTGCTGGGCCCCCCTGCAGCCCTCGAAAGTGGCGACAGTTTCACAGATCGCAGCCCCCCAAGGATGGCGAGGTCCAATTTGAGTCTGCGGTGAGTACCCACTGTGCTGGGCCCCCCAGCAGGCCTCGAAAGTGGCGACTGTTTCGCAGAACGCAGCCCCCCAGGGATGGCGAGGTCACATTTGAGTCCGCGGTGAGTACCCACTGTGCTGTGCCCCATCAGCAGCCTTCGAAAGTGGCGACAGTTTCACAGATCGCAGCCCCCCAGGGATGGCGAGGTCTAATCTGAGTCTGCGGTGAGTACCCACTGCGCTGGGCCCCTCAGCAGCCCTCGAAAGTGGCGACAGTTTCACAAATCGCAGCCCCCCAAGGATGGCGAGGTCTAATTTGAGTTTGCGGTGACCACTGTGCTGGGCCCCTCGGCAAACCTCGAAAATGGCGACAGTTTCACAGATCGCAGCCCCCCCAGGGATGGCGAGGTCTAATTTGAATCTGCGTGTGAGTACCCACTGTGCTGGGCCCCCCTGCAGGCCTCGAAAGTGGCGACAGTTTCACATATCGCAGACCCCCAGGGATGGCGAGGTCCCATTTGCGTCTGCCGTGAGTACCCACAGTGCTGGGCTCCCCAGCAGGCCTCGAACGTGGCGACAGTTTCACAGATCGCAGCCCCCCAGGGATGGCGAGGTCCCATTTGAATCTTCCGTGAGTACCCACTGTGCTGGGGCCCCCAGCAGGCCTCGAAAGTGGCGACAGTTTCGCAGATCGCAGCCCCCCAGGGATGGCGAGGTCTCATTTGAGTCTGCCGTGAGTACCCACTGTGCTGGGCCCCCCAGCAGGCCTCGAAAGTGGCGACAATTTCACAAATCGCAGCCCCCCAGGGATGGCGAGGTCCCATTTGAGTCTGCCGTGAGTACCCACTGTGCTGGGCCCCCCAGCAGGCCTCGAAAGTGGCGACAGTTTCGCAGATCGCAGCCCCCAGGGATGGCGAGGTTCCATTTGCGTCTGCCGTGGGTACCCACTGTGCTGGGCCCCCCAGCAGGCCTCGAAAGTGGGTTTCACAGATCGCAGCCCCCCAAGGATGGCGAGGTCCCATTTGCGTCTGCCGTGAGTACCCACTGTGCTGGGCCCCCCAGCAGGCCTCGAAAGTGGCGACGTTTCACAGATCGCAGCCCCCCAGTGATGGCGAGGTCCCATTTGAGTCTGCCGTGAGTACCCACTGTGCTGGGCCCCCCAGCAGGCCTCGAAAGTGGCGACGTTTCACAGATCGCAGCCCCCCAGGGATGGCGAGGTCCCATTTGAGTTGCCGTGAGTACCCACTGTGCTGGGCCCCCCAGCAGGCCTCGAAAGTGGCGACAGTTTCACAGATCGCAGCCCCCCAGGGATGGCGAGGTCCCATTTGCGTCTGCCGTGAGTACCCACTGTGCTGGGCCCCCCAGCAGGCCTCGAAAGTGGCGACAGTTTCACAGATCGCAGCCCCCCAGGGATGGCGAGGTCCCATTTGCGTCTGCCGTGAGTACCCACTGTGCTGGGCCCCCAGCAGGCCTCGAAAAAGGCGACAGTTTCACAGATCGCAGCCCCCCAGGGATGGCGAGGTCCCATTTGAGTCTGCCGTGAGTGCTCACTGTGCTGGGCCCCCCAGCAGGTATCGAAAGTGGCGACAGTTTCACAGATCGCAGCCCCCCAGGGATGGCGAGGTCTAATCTGAATCTGCTGTGAGTACCCACTGTGCTGGGCCCCTCAGCAGCCCTCGGAAGTGGCGATAGTTTCACAGATCGCAGCCCCCCAGGGATGGCGAGGTCTAATTTGAGTCTGCGGTGAGTACCCACTGTGCTGGGCCCTTCAGCAGGCTTCGAAAGTGGCGACAGTTTCACAGATCGCAGCCCCCCCCAGGGATGGCGAGGTCCCATTTGAGTCTGCCGTGGGTACCCACTGTGCTGGGCCCCTCATCAGCCCTCGAAAGTGGCGACAGTTTCACAGATCGCAGCCCCCCAGGGATGGCGAGGTCCCATTTGAGTCTGCCGTGAGTACCCACTGTGCTGGGCCCCCCAGCAGGCCTCGAATGTGGCGACAATTTCACAGAACGCAGCCTCCCAGTGATGGCAGCATTTGAGTCTGCCTCGATGGGCCCCCCGGCAGGCCCCGAAAGTGGCGACAGTTTCACAGATCGCAGCCCCCCAAGGATGGCGAGGTCCCATTTGAGTCTGCCGTGAGTACCCACTGTGTTGGGCCC